AACAGCTAAATCCCTGCAACCCCGCCCAGCCTATCCACCAGTGGGGGACCAGATTAACCATTAACCCCTACCCCTCCCCGGCAGGGCCTCCACCCCTGCACAGAGGCTAGGCCAGACTCCCGGCAGATCCTCCCAGAGGACGGGTTGAAACTCAGGAAGGCAGAGAGGGTACCTGGGAGGAGGCAGTGGGAGGGCAGAGGGCGGGGGCCGGGGCTCGGCCCAGAGCCTTCGGGGTAGGCATTCTGGGCTGGGCAGGTGGCTGCGGTGTGGTGGCAGGGGAGAATGCGCCTCTCCAAAACCCTTGTCGACATGGACATGGCTGACTACAGTGCTGCGCTGGACCCAGCCTACACCACCCTGGAGTTTGAGAATGTGCAGGTGTTGACGATGGGCAATGGTAGGTGTGGGCAGGTGTGCCCAGGTGTGCCAGTTGGGGGCAGGTGTGCCCATACATGGAGTGGGTCTTTGGCACTCAAGATGGGGAGGGAAGTGATGGAAAATGGTAGGTTGGTCCTGTAGGAGCGCTGGTGGCGCAGTGGTTAAGAGTGTGGCAGCTAAACAAAAAGGTCATCAGTATGACTCCACCAGCTGCTCCTTGGAAACCCTATGGGGCAGTTCTACTCTTTCCTATAAGGGTTGCTATGAGTCAGAATTGACTTGACTGCAGTGGTTTTTTTTTTTTTTTTTTTTTTAATTTGGTCCTTCAGGGTAGGACAGGTGTTGCCAGGTGAAGAAAATTTGCCCGGGTACAGTGACCAGGGGCATTCTGGGTGAGGGTAGGCCTGCAGGGGCAAATTTCCAGCAAAAGTCTACCCCAGGTATCCCTGCCAGGCCCTCCCAGTCTCCATTACCTCAAAGCTGTTCCTGCTTGGTGTGTCACTGGGAGTGGAGACATGATAGTGAGGCCCCTCTTGGCATCCAGCTCCAGTCATTCAGCCCTACGTGGTCCCTTCTTGAAGCCCTGGGGCCTAGGTCCAGAGAGATGGAAAGGTATGTCCTGTCCCTGAACACGGTGGGTGGAGGCATAACCGCATTTCAGGGTGTCTTTGGGGCTCTTTGAGGGGTGGACATCCCACTTAGAAAAAATGAAATTCGCAAGGGAAGTTTGGCTAGCTAAGATTCCAACTCCGCAGTGTATGTGCTGTGTATGTGTTCATGTGCGTGATTGTGACCCTCCTCCTGGTGTGCGCATGTGAGTTTCTGTCTAAGTGTGCGTGGGGTATGTATGCTGTGTAGGTATACGAGCGTCCTGGGTATACCAGTGCCTGGGGGTAGACATTTGCATACCTGTGTTCCTGTGTCTGTGCATATGTGTTCATTGAGTGGGTCTGTGTTGGTGTGTGTGTCTCTAGGGCTCCCTGTGTTTGTCTTGCTTGTGTATGTAAGCAACTGTGTGTGTCCCTGTTTCTGTGGGTGTCAGTACACATGGGCTATTTATGTGGGTCTGTGACTGCATATGCTGTTGGTTGGAAGTTTGTGTCCCCTATGATTTCTGGGCTAAGTCCTGTATGGCGTTTTGTCATGTGTTCCTGTCTATCAGAGGTGTAGCAAGGGGGTTAGAGGGGGCATTTGCAAGTCCAAGGGGGCGCCAGATGAGGCCAGCCAGCAAATCACCAGCCCCCACCTTGTCGATGGCGGGGGAGGGGGAGCAAGCTTAGCGATTGCCCCGGGCGCTCGTTACCTTCGCTGCACCTCTGCTGACTGTACCTGCTTCAGATGCTGCTCTCAGCTGCTGTACGGGGGATAAGCACTCTGGTGTGCACGATTATGTGGACATGATGCATGGGTTTTTGACTTTGCCATTCACCAAATGAGATCCACATCAGCAACATGGCTGTTGGTCTCTGAGCAGATTTTTGTGGCCCGTGTACGTCTCTCCCCAGGTTTCTGCATCCTCTCCAACATCACTAGGGGGTGGACTGTTCTCCTCCCCAAGGAGGTGGGCAAGGGAGGAGGCCTGAAAGCCAGGAAGCTCCCTGGAGGGGAAGGGTCCTGACTGATCCTGGGCCAGCCTCAGAGGAGAGGTGGCAGCTGGCCCAGGTCAGCCTGCTACCTACCTCCCTTCCGTGGCTCAGAGCTGCACAGCTGGAGTCCAGCTGCGTCTTCAGCCGAGGTCTGTACCACTGTGGTCAGCTCAGCTCTTCCGCCGAGGTCTGTACCGCTGTGGTCGGCTCAGCTAGAAAGAGGAGGCAGCGGCCGGCCACAGGGTGGGGATGGGGGGCACACACTGCTGTAGTCAGCCTTACCTGGTATTCACCCATCCCTGGCATCCACTCACTGTATGACCTTGGGCACATCACTTGCCCTCTCCTGGCCTCTGCATAGTCCACAAAATGGGCTTAATCATCCTAAACCTGCTGGCCGGCTGCTTTTAGGAAGGTCCAGGGTCACAGGCTGGAAATAGTAAACAAGGAAGCTGCCGTGGGGGTGTTGTGGGATCCTACAGGACCGTGTGTGCTGTCACACTCCTGGCTACTGCCCAGCCACAGGCTGCTCCCTGTGGCCTGACCCCACCACCTCTTCAAAGCCCTTGTCCCCACTTCTCAGGAATTGCGTGCTTCTGAGGCAGAGGCCAAGTCCGGCCCCTTGGCTGGGTGTCCCCAAAGCAGGACAGCCTCTGGCTCTGGACCAGAAAGATCTGGGCTCAGACTCTGGCATAGATCCTTCTGACCTGTGTGAACTTGGCAAACCAAGATGCTTCTCTGAGCCTCAGTTTCCTCATCTGTAACATGGGGATAAATAATAGTGTCTGCCTCCCAGGGCTGACCAAGGATCAGACAAGATGAGGTACCTGAGTCCTTTGCACTGGTAAGTGGTGCCAGCCCCCGCATGGGTGGTCTCAAGAACTGGAAGCATCTGTAAGAAGGGCCTGCATTCCCAGAGTTTGAGGTGGTCTGAGAGATGGGAACGTGTGAGGTTGCTTTAAAGTGTTTTGCATACATCCTGGGCTGATGGCTCAAAGGCTATAAGGATAAGCCCCACCCCACCCGCCCACCCCCACCACTCACAAGCAGCAGTAGGAGGAGGTCCTTACTTATAAGAGGTCCCAGTAGACACCTTACCACGTGCAACACTGGCCAGAGGGGCCCAGCACACCTGAGCTATAGATCTGGCTACTCTATTTTGCAGCAGTGTGATGACCCTGGGCAGACCTCTTGCCTCTCTGAGCCTCGGTTTCCCCCCTGGAGAATGGGGGATGAAGTGCGAGCTCCTTCCCTGCAGCCTCGGCCCAAATGGCTAGGAGTTGTAGGGTCATTTCACCCTGGGGATGGGGGTGGGTGTTGTGGGGGTCAGCTCTCACCGGGGGTCGGGGGAGGTGAGGCTGAGGGAGAAAGGGCACCAGAGTGGCTTAACAATTACCCCCATCTCCCGGAATAATTCACCAAGTGGAGGCGGCCACACTCCTGGGCACACTTGGAGTCTCAGGAGACATTCAGCTAGGTGATGGCTGAAATGAGATACGATCGTATCCGTTTGTGTGTGGAGGCTGGGAGTCATATGCTCTGCGTTTTATTTTGCAGAAACATTTTTATTTCACAAACACTGATATATATTGATTCATTGAACCCTCCTAACAGCCCTAGGGGACTATTATTATACTCTCCATTTTACAAGTGAGCAAACTAAGGCTTGGAGATGTGAAATAACTCAGCCAACGTCACACAGCTAAGAAGTGGGGAAGCCAGGATTCGAACCTGGGCATAAGGCTCCAGAGTTTGTGCTCTTAATTATAACATTGTGCCTCTCTCCAGTTCTTAACTGGATGTCCTCTTAGGAATCCAAGGACAGGTTCAGGGTTTCTATGGAAACGTGTGTGTAACTGGATGGTGTGCACATGCATGCATTTTTCTGAGGAGATGGTCTATTGTATTCATCGTATTTTCCAGCGGGTCTATCCTTGATAGAAGATTTGCTTACAAAAAAAAAAAGAGGGTTCAAACGCTGAAATTAAAAACAAAACCCGGACTAGTCAAACTGCCTCATTTTACAACAAGGCTTTGAACGGGTTCATTGCAGTTCAAACGCCTGCTAAGAATTTGCATTTCCACCCCCAGATATACTGAAGCAGAATCTACAGTTTAACAAGATCCCAGGTGATTCTTATGTATAATAAAAATTGAGAACCACTGCTCTACAAGTGGTTCTCAACCTTGGTCCCTAATCATCAGCATTAGCATTGCCTGGGAACTTGTTAGAAATGCAAATTCTAACCATCAAAGCCTTGTTTTACAGTTAGGGAAACTAAGGTCTGGAGGAAACTGAATTGAGGAAAAGAAACTTGCCCAAGGTCACAGGCAAGTTAGTGGCAGCATCAGCGCTAGTGCCCAGGACTCCTGGTGCCCGATCCAAGATCTCCTTTGCCACCCTGACTCTTACCCCTCCTCCTCACATTTATACAGACCCAGTACTTTTGCTTCTGGGACAGGAGGTACTCGAGAAGTGCCCAGATCCTTGCCATGACCCTCCCAGGAGGGCAAATGAGCGAATGTCCTCAGTGCATATCTTCCCTGCTCCCCAGGAGAGTCCTGGACACCAAGCAAGACCCACCCAGCCCTGGTCACTCAATGAGAAGTGAGGGACAGGACCTAGTTTTGGGGAGAAGCGGGGTGGGGGGTGGTTATTTGTCCCTTCCACAGCCCTTCCCCACCCTCCTGCCCCGTCAATCAGGAGTCTACAAGGGTCATATGCATGCTAGGAGGTGGCCAGGTTTTCAGAGAAAGTCCCAGCTAGTGGCCTCCACCATGGGGAGAAGCAGATACTCACAACTCTGTGAAATCAGTGTTACAACCACCGCCAATTTATAGTTGTGAACTGAGGTTCCAAAGGGCTAAGTGCTTTGCCCATGGTCATGGATGATGAGCCAGGAATACAATGAGGTCTGGCTGAGGCCGAAGCCCTGGGAAGATTCCTGCAACGCTGATACTGGTTTCTGAATCCCTACCACCAAGAGGTGGCTCTCTGCCCCTTCTGAGTCCATGCTCCCATCTCTTCTCACACAGACACATCCCCATCAGAAAGCGCCAACCTCAACGCGCCCAACAGCCTGGGTGTCAGCGCCCTGTGCGCCATCTGTGGGGACCGGGCCACAGGGAAACACTACGGGGCCTCAAGCTGTGATGGCTGCAAGGGCTTCTTCCGGAGGAGTGTGAGAAAGAACCACATGTACTCCTGCAGGTGAGGAGCCTCCCCACTCAGGGACTTGATTTCTCCAGCTGGGAAATGGGTGCATTTGGGCTAATGTTCCCCAGGGTCTGTCTCCTTCCTGACTGGGTCCCAGAGGCATCTGCCCTTCAAGGCTTTCAAGGCTCCCCTGGTTTCTTAGGCCTTGAGGATCCAGATGGGAACATCTGATCTAGGAACCCCATTCACTGATCATAAAGTTATTTGCTGCCCTTTATTGAGCACTTACTATATGCCAGGCACTACACTAAGTCTTTGCATGCACTACCATACTGAACCAGCCCCACAAGCCCATTGTTATTATTCCCATTTTAGCAAATAAGGATCCATGAGCCTTAAGATCTAGCCTCCTCTGAAGCCTCAGAGCGTGGGGCCATCCTCCAGTCTGGTGCTTTTCTGGGGCAAATGGCGGATTGACCCCAGGCCTTTCTACCTACCAAGCTCCCTACAGCCTTAGATATGTCTCCTTCAAAAGATCTTGCATTCTGGGTAATAGCAATAATAAAATAATGGCAGCTGTCAATTATGAGCATTTGCCAAGCTCTTGACATGTATTATCTCACTTTACCTGCTAACACCTCTCTGAGGGAGCACTGATGATGCAGTGGTTAAGAGCTCAGCTGCTAACCAAAAGGTCAGCAGTTCAAATGTACCAGCTGCTCCTTGGAAACCCTATGGGGCAGTTCTACTCTGTCCTATCAGGTTGCTATGAGTCAGAATTGACTTGACAGCAACGGCGGGCAGGCTACCTCTCTGAGGTGGTTACTAATATTATTCCCATTTTATAGATGAGGAAGCTGTGGCTTGGAAAGGGCTAGGAATTTACCCAAGGTCACCAGGTTTAAATCAATGGCAGAGCCAGGGTTGACACTTAGGGCCCCACCCCTGCACTCTGCTGCACTGCTTCTACTTCATCTTCTCCAGAGAGCCATTTACGCAAGAGACCCACCATGGGCGCTGAGCTTTTAGAGATGTGATGGAAATAGCAGTGTCTTGGTACTCAAAAGGCTAGGGTTCCCAACTCAGCTCTGTCACTGATTAGCTGCGTGCCCTGGGGCCACATGTTTCCTCTCTGAGCCTCAGTTTCCCCATCTTTAGCAGGATAGAGTTGGACTCTTAAAGAAGCCACAGGGCCTTTCCAACTCCTGGTCAGTTAGCATGGGAATTCCTGGGATGAAGAGTTCAGGTTAGGAGGCTGGGGGTCAATCAGAATGGCCAGGGTCCTAGTTCCTTCCTGGGAGGGGGAAGACTGTTCCTTCTTCATCCAACCATCCAAAGCCCTCCTCAGATTTAGCCGGCAGTGCGTGGTGGACAAAGACAAGAGGAACCAGTGCCGCTACTGCAGGCTCAAGAAGTGTTTCCGGGCTGGCATGAAGAAGGAAGGTGAGCCCGGCCCTCCCCCAACCACCCCACTGCCCTACCCACACCCACAGATCCCCGAGAGTCATTTACAACTGCAGCCACAACTTTATGACTAGGTGACAGGCCCTAGGGTGACTGGATCATAAGAGAAAGGACTTGCTAATGGCTGAGAAGAGGGAGGGCCTGGAAATCTGACCATAGGGAGGGGCTGGGCTTGGTCTTGAGAAAGATTTGAAGAGATAAGCTCCCACTCTCAGCTACTCGGCTCCTAGCAGCAGCTGCCGCCATGCCTGCCTTCGCCACCACAAGGCAGCCACATTGGTGGTTTCTTCTCAGTACAATATTTCAAACTTCAGCAGAAGTGGAGCGAATGATATTACAAATACCCACCACTCAGGCTTAATCAGTGTGACTGCCTGGGGGGCTCTATTCCCCAGCTTCCTGTCCCAGGGATGTGTCCCCCAATTCCTTCAATCCTCATCCTTATGCACCAGGTGATGGCCAAAGTTTCCATGTTCTAGAAAATGGGAACAAGATACCAGAGTCGTCCTGGGTGAAGGACGTTGGGAAGATGGGACTATGACAGTAAGGTCTTCCCAGGCTTTCTGCCACTAGCTGCTGCCAATTGCTGGGCTGGGCATGTCTCACATTTGATGGCTCCTCTCCTTTCATTCTCATGACGACCCTGTGTGGCTGCCACTATTATTATCTCCCCTTCTCATGGATGAGGGAACAGAGGCCCAGACTGGTTAAGTAACTTGCCAAAGGCCCCATAGCTGGTCAATGGAAGACCTGAGATTTGAACCCCAAAAGCTTGGGACTCAAGTTCAGTGCTGTTTGAAAAACACTTCAACTCTACCTACTCGTGCCCTCCGGACCCCATAAATATTTAAAATTGTTTTCAATGAAGCTCACGAGACAAACATCTTTTAACTGTTTCTCAAAGTAGTTGGAGATCGTTTTCTAATCTCTTTGTTTCCTTCTCCCCCAAACTCACCGCTCCGAGCTCTGGGACTAGCCCCAGACCTTCACTCCAGCCGACAGCTATGCCACCCGAGCCAAACCCTGAGTCTAGTCCTGTACAAACACACACATCCCACCACACCCCAGGAGCAGGAACCTGGGACCACCACACCCCAGGAGCAGGAACCTGGGACCCCACACCCCAGGAGCAGAAACCTGGGACCACTATACCCCAGGAGCAGGAACCTGGGACCACCACACCCCAGGAGCAGGAACCTGGGACCACTATACCCCAGGAGCAGGAACCTGGGACCTAGCTTGCCCCAGGTGCAGGAACCTGGGACCACTACACCCCAGGAGCAGGAACCTGGGACACAGACTGCCCCAGGATGACTGAGGAGGGGATGCCTGGCTTTGGCAGCTTCCGCCTCCCCTGTCTGCCTCTGGGCCCATTTTCTCTGCCTCTGAGCCCATTTTCTCTGCCTCCGTCCTCAGAAATCCCTTCTGTGTCCCATCTCTACAGGGCTTTAGTCTGAGTGCACAAGCCCTGTTGGAAGATCTGGGCCTGCTGGCCCCAATGAAGGAGTGGATGGTCTCCAAGGCCCTCTCCTGCTCCAAATACCACAATTCTAACACCCAGACCTCAGTGATTCGCAAAGTGGGAGAGGGACTTTTTCAAACTACCAATACCCTTTCCTCTCCCCTGCTCAGTTTTCAATGGGGTTGAGCTTCTCTCGCCCCCTCTCACAAGTTGAGAAGCACTTTGTGGAATGAGAAATGTTACGAATGGGAATGTGATGCACGTATGAACAGCTGGAGACAAGAAATAGGTGGAGAACTGTAGTCTAAGGGCCTAACATTCTATGATTTACCATCAGTGATTCTATTATTCCAATAGTCTAAGACTTTAGAATTCTGTGATTGTCCAGAGGTGTTATTCAGAGGGTTTGTGTTCAAAAGAATGAGTCTTTCATGTTGAAATTTCAGGCTTTGAGACAGGCAGATGAGGAGAGGGATTGGCAGCCAACCTGAGCAGATGGCTCCCTACCTAGGCTGGATATGGGCTGGTCCTGTAGGTGGTCAGTCTGTATATATATCCCTTGTTAAACATAGAGTCATTTCCACGTGTGTAACATCAGGGAAGTTTCTGCCCCTTCTGGGCTCCAATTTTCCCATCTATAAGACAAGAGGATTAGATTCATGGGTCCAGCTCTGTGGGTCTAACCACACCTTCAGTGACACACCTGTACAGGTAACACTACCCACCAGGACATGTATGCTTGTTCCCTGGCCCTCTTGCTGAGCTGTCGCTGAGCCAGCAGATTCCACGTCCAGTCTCCTGGAAGGAGTTGGAACCCCAGCCCATTCAGCCTTAGCTTGGCCTTGAAAATAGCCATTTGCTTCTTGGCCCAGGGGAAGTGACATCATACCAGGAGGATAGGAAAGTTGGCTAACAGCAAGTGAGTATGGGCTAGTAAACACTGGTACTTATTTACATGCCTGGGTCAACCCGAAGATCATGACACAAGTAATCACGTGGTTGCTTTGAGAATGGGCCAGGGTTGCAAAGTATTCAATTGCCACCATAGTCAAGCTCGGGGAAGTAGGATATTGCTAGTTGTACTTAAGTCTTATGGAGCCTCTGGGTGGTGCAAATGGTTAACGCGCTCAGCTGCTAACCAAAAGGTTAGGTGTTCAAGTCCCTCCATAGGCATGTTGAAAGAAAGGCCTGATGATCTACTTCTGAAAAATCATCCATTGAAAACCCTATGGAGCAGAGTTCTTCTCTGACATACATGGGGTCACCATGAGTCAGAATCAACTTAAAGGCAACAGGTTTTACCTAAATCTTGCAGCCTCAACCACCCCTCCTTGGCCTGATGAAAAGTTCCCAAAGCCATGGGAAATTCTCAGTGGAAGTTTCACTGATCAGGAGAATTGATCAGGAGAATTGGGACAAGTTTTTATTTCTCTCCTAGATAGCTTTAGCAGGGTTTGGGGACTGAAACCCAGAAGTAGTCCTTGAGGACAAGAAAGTATGAGCTGGAAACATAGGATTATAAACCAGCCAGGTCTATAAGAAGCCATCAAATCTATTTCCTCCCCACTTTACAGATAGGGAAACTGAGACCAGAGAGGTGATGTGATGGGTCAGGACTAGAACTCAGGTACCCCAAAGCTGAGCAGACACCAAGCTCCCTGGATTGAAACTGGGAGTGATCAGCTTGGAAGGCATCGTCTCTGGTCTAGATTCCTGAAACTTCCTCTGAACCACAGGAAAGGGCTCCACCTCTCACGGGCCTGTAAATATCGGCCTGAAGACCATTCCACGGTGGCTGGAAGCAGGTTCCCTGGAGTGACAAAGACTCTGGGCAGAAACCTGCGTTCAGTGGGCCCAACTGCAGGCTGAGATTTTTTTTCTACAACCAGAGACCAGGAAGATGGACACCTGCCTGGGCCTTAGCCATCAGGCCCAGGGAACGTGCTCAGTTCCTGGCATCTGAAACCCAGCCCAGGAGGCAGGGCCAGGGGTCTAGGGTGCGGCAGGTGTGGGAAGTGCAGTTGGTAATGGACCAGGGGCTGTCTGACAGGGACCTTCCTCGGACCCCGGGCCCTGCCCCCCTCCAGGCCCCTACCCAGGGGTTCTCTGGGAAGACAGGCTCATCCTCCTCTGTGCCTCTGCCCCATCGGTTAATATTCAATAGAAGTTACATTAGGTCCGCGACCCTGCTAATACTGAGCAAACATTTGGAAAACATCATTCCGTGACTGAGCTCGCGCCGGGCGCGATAACGCCCGCCTAACCTTGAGGAGCCTTCTCCACAGCTGCTGACACTAGCCCTTTTATTCTGCCCGCCTCTGCCACTGGCGCCCCGGTGGGTGCGGGCACCTGGCAGGCCCAGCAGCCAAGGGAGGGTGTTGGCAGGCGGGGCCGAGCGCCAACCGGGGTGGAGGAACTGTGCTGTGAGCTGGCACTTCCAGGGTGGCAGGGCAGGGGTGGCCAGTGAGGCCTCAGGAAGAGGCGTCTTCTTACCTCTATTAAGTGTGTGTTTGGGGGCGGGGAGGGGCTCTCTATACTGACTCCTGGGCTCAGTTTGGGGTATTTGACTTCATCTGATTTCTTCCCAGCAGCTGTGTGTGAAATCAGGGGAAAAGTTGAAGAGTTGAAAAGTCAGTGTCCCCTTGAGAAATAGGGTGCTTTTAAGAATTACAGTGTGTCTCATCCAGCTGTGGGTCAGAATCGACTTGACGGCAGTGGGTTTGGTTTTCTCATCCAACTCCTTCTTTCATTCACTCAACAAATATTTACTGAGCACCTACTATGTGCCAGGCACTGTTCTGGACTCTGGGGCTACAGCTGTGAACAAGAGGGATGTGGTTCCTACTTTCTGAAGCTTTCCCTTATATAGAGCCAGGCAGTAAACAAGTGAACAAATAATTCTACATTAAGTGCAAGGAGAAAAATAAAGAAGGGTAAGGTGGCAGAGTGTGAGGGAGGAAATGCCATATTAGACAGGGTATCTTGGAGAAGGTGACGTTTGGTCAGAGCCATGAGTGAAGTGGAGATGCTAACTCATACGGGAAAGAATTCCGGGCAGTGCAAAGGCCCTGAGGGGGAGTGTGCCTGAGGTATTGGAGGAAGATTGTTGTCAGGTGCCATTGAATCAATTTTCGACTCATAGCGACCCCATGTGACAGAGCAGAACTTCCCCATAGGGTTTCCTAGGCTGTAATCTTAATGGAAGCAGATTGACGGGTCTTTCTCCCATGGAGCCGCTGGGTGGGTTCAAACTGCCAAATTTTCAGTTAGCAGCTGAGGACTTAACCGTTGCATCACCAGGGTTCCTTGGAGGAAGAGCAAGGCGGCTGGTGTGGCTAGAGCAGAGGGAATGAGGGGAGGATGTAAGAGGTGAGATGGGAGACGAAGTGGGGCAGGATCTCGGGGGCCTGGTGCTGTAATGAGGAGCTGTGATTTTACTCTATGTAAGGGACACCACCTGAGTTATGTTTTAACACGATCCTTCCGTCTTCTGGGAGTCCCTAGGTGGTGCAAACAGTTAAAGCACTCAACTACTAACTGAAAAGCTGGAGATTTGTGTCCATCCAGAGGTGCCTTGGAAGAAAGACCTGGCAATCTACTTTCAAAAAATCAGCCACTGAAAACAATATGGAGTACAGTTCTGCTCTGACACACATGGGGTCGCCATGAGTTAGAATCAAATGGCAACTGATTTGGTTTGGCTTTTCTGTTTCTGAGGCCAGAAGCAAGGAAACCAGTGAGGAGGGCCTGCCTTAATTCTGGGGAGAGGCCCCAGGGCCCCACTTAGGGTGGGAGCAGAGGAGGTGTCAGCAATTGATCTGTTTTGTTGGGGTTACTGACAGCATTTGCTGGTGGATCCCATGTGCGGTGTGAGCGAAAAAGGAGTCCAGGAAGACGCCCAGGTTTTTGGTCGGAATAAACTTGCCAGTTCCTGCGATAGGAAAGACCACAGAGAACCAGGTTTGGGAGGGAAGCAGGAGTGTTAGAGACGGGGAAACTGAGGCCCAGCAAGAGGATGTGGTTCCCACGAGCACACAGAGAGTGAATTCTGGACAGGAACCCAGGTCTCCTGCTGCTGCCTCCCTCTTTCTAGTTTCAGCAAAGCTTTGTTGCACAGTGAGGCCTCTGGGATTGCAAAGGACGGGGTCTCGGCAGCGGAAGGCCCATCTGACATCTTAGGCCAAGACTGGCCTGAATGGAGGTGGGCAGTGGGGTGAGTGGCCCTGGTGGACAGAGGCCTGGATCCCTGAGTTCCTGGGAGAGAGCCCAGCGGTGGGCCAGAGGGGAATAGCTTTGCATTGCTGTCTCTGAGGAAGTTAGATTAGAACACAGGCAGCTCCTGCTGGTGGATGGGACCTTTGGAGCAGGTGGGGACCTCCTGATCTCCTTGTCCAGGGCTTCTGTCCCAGCGCGCCAAGCCATCTTGGTGTCACCCAGAGTAATTCATTTTGCTTGTTTTACACACTTTCATCTGGAAAGAAAGGGACCCTTTTCTAAAACAGAGCTTGGAATCCTATAATCTAGTCAGATTCTCTCTTCAATGCTCAAGACTCACCTGAAGCCCTCTGCCAAGCCATCACTGTCTCGCATGCCTCCCACAATGGGTTGATCACTCCAGCGGCTGCCCCATTGTGTGTGGGGTAGGGGGGTGCGGAGAGGGGAAGCAGGCTGCTGGTGTCTGGAAACTTCTTCAACAAGCTGAGCTGGAAGTCATCTTCCCTCATTCCCACGTGCTGATCTGAGCTCTTCCCTCTGGACTCTGTCCCCCGGCACTCCCAAATGTGTTTCCTTTGCTCCAAGACAGGCTTGCAGTTATCTCTCTGGGTTGCGCTCTCTCCCCTTGTACCTCACCCACTCTTCGTGGGTCACGGGACCCCTGGCCCCCTGGCCCCCCTCCTCACTGCACTCTCTGCCCCCTCACAGCCGTCCAGAATGAGCGGGACCGGATCAGCACTCGGAGGTCAAGCTATGAGGACAGCAGCCTGCCCTCCATCACTGCGCTCCTGCAGGCCGAAGTCTTGTCTCAGCAGGTACTGGGGTGAACTCCCACCCACCCAGGGACCCCTCACCTGCCCAGGGAACCCCCATACCAAAGAGGAGTCTCACCCACCTCCACCCCTGTTCCCCCAGCCAGGCCCTGGAGCAACAGGTCAAAAGTTCCTCAGATATCTAGAAGGGAAACTGAGTCCAGAAACGGGGCGCTACCAGTGCCTCACAGCCTGTTTTGCAGCAAAGGCAGAACTTGAATGCAGGTTTGGTGCCATGGGGCACTTTATAGTTCATTGTTCTGCCTGCATTTGCAGACCAAGCAGAGTCTTTGCTCTCACTGAGGGCCTGAAATCAGCTTAGCCCTGAGAGGACTGAGTAATGGACAGAGGTGGCAAACAGGCTCAGCCACCCCTCACTGTGTGACCTTGAGCAGGTCACAGCCCCTCTCTAGGCCATAATTTCTTCATCTATCAGATGAGGATGATGTTTGCCCTGCTTCTCCCCTGGGGCCAAGGGGTTCCTTGGAGTTCCAGGGAGCTAGAAGGGGGGGCTGCAGGGGCAGGCAGCAGGGGAAGGCCCAGAGGGAGCCCTCGTCCCTTACATCTGCCTCCTCAGCGTGTCGTCTTCTGCCTGCTCAGTCCCTGAGCTTCCTTCAGAGCTGGGAGGGCGCCCACAGTCCAGCACCCCCTTTTCCAGAGGTAGAGGGGGGTGCTGTGCAAGGGACAGAGAGCATAGGGAGAACTCGGCCATCCTCAGCGTTTTCCTTTGTCTTCCCCAGATCACTTCCCCTGTCTCCGGGATCAACGGTGACATCCGTGCCAAGAAGATTGCCAGCATCTCAGACGTGTGTGAGTCCATGAAGGAGCAACTGCTGGTGCTCGTCGAGTGGGCCAAGTACATCCCAGCTTTCTGCGAGCTCCCCCTGGACGACCAGGTAGGGGAGACAGGGGCAGCGGGCAGTGGGGGGCACAGGGTCCTGCTGGACCACCTTGGGTATAGCCATGGGGGCTGGTTTAATTTTATTTATCACAACATGCACAGTGCTCACGTGTGCCTAGAACTGTTTTAATCATTTCACAAACATTAACTCATTCACTCCCTCGAATGACCCTAGGAGATTGGTGCTATTATTATCCCCATCTTATAGGTGAGGAAACTGGGACACAGAGAGGTTAAGTAACTTGCTCAAGGCTGCACAGCTAGTATCCTGCAGAGCTGGGATTAGAACCCACGCAGGCTTGCACTAAAGTCCAGCCTCCTAACTACTGCACCATTGCAGCTGTCCTGAGACCAGGGGTCAGGAGATTTGAGCTTGAGCCCTGGCTCTAAGACTGTGTGGTCTGGGACAAATTACTTCCTCTCCTGCACCTCAGTTTTCTCATCTGTAAAGTGAGAATGGTAATATCCACTGCAGAGGGTTGTTGGGAGGATTGAGTACATTGCTATTTGAAAAGCACAAAGTCATGTAAGGGAGCATCTACACAGGGCCTGGCCGTCGCTGGCCGTCCTAAACGTTACTGTCTTTCTTGCATTCCACCGAGATGGTTTAGCTCACATTTTATTTCTCAAAGTGCATTCTTTGGAATACCAAAATGTTCCAGGGAAAAAAGGGTGCTGGACTGGGGCAGTCTGGAAACAGATGCGTTTCTGAGATCCTGGATGTTATAGCTCCTGCACAGAGCAACCACTAGGCCTCTGCAGACATTCTCTCTATCTGGAAAAGGGGAGCTGGCCTGGACCACCTTCCTGGCTCTGAAGGCAACTCAGGGGCACCAATGAACAGACAGCCCAGAAACCAGCTCCTGGTGTGTTAGCTTATATATTTTGCATATTTGCACAAGAGATTTACAATGCATAGCAGCATATTAAAGTTTCCGAGAAGTCCTACTGTCAAGGCAGCTGTTGAACTTTGGGGAACCCAGGGCTTCCCAAACTCCTTTGGCCCCCAGACTCTGCCAGAACACCTAGCAATATCCCACTCTGGGGCACACTTTGGGAAATAAAATGTGAGCTAGACCATCTTGGTGGAATGCAAGAAAGACAGTAACATTTAGAACGGCCAGCGACGGCCAGGCCCTGTGTAGATGCTCCCTTACATGACTTTGTGCTTTTCAAATAGCAATGTACTCAATCCTCCCAACCATGCAAACGCTGGTTGGCTGGTCCTGGCCTCTCAAGGGCTGGGCCCTAGGCACCCTTGCACAGATTCTTCCCCCTTTAGGAGAGATGGCAGGGCAGGGATTTTGGCCAAGCTGCCCCTGCCCTCTCCCCTGCTACTCCTGCTCTGGCCCCGGTCCCCTCTGCTGGAGAGTCTACATTAATGTTTAATCCCTTCTGTTCCTTCCCAGGGGCTTAGCAGGGCAACAAGACACCCCTAAGCTGAACAATTGTTAACCTCGATTTCCCACCCAAACCTCCCTGGCTGAGGCTCAGAGCATTCTCAGAGAGCAGTGATGGGTAGCCAGTAACGTGGGACAATCATTAAACCCCCCGACCTGCCTGCCCACCTCCAGAACAGCCACCACGTCAGGGGGCTGAACCTGGAACCAGGAGGTTCCTGGATCTCCACTCTTGGACCAAAAGGAGCCCACCTTGCCCAGGATGGGCAGGAAACACCTGGAGACTAGGAGTCGTTGTCCTCTAAAGGACACCCCAAGTCTGTCAATGGTGCCCCAGGAACCAGCTCTAAGTTTGTTCGCTTGTTGGTTTGTTTTGGACATCAATCCATAGAAAGCTAGAAGTTTGGGTACAGTTGGACAAGGGGACTGAGGCTTTGAAGGGAAAGAGATTTGCCCACAGTCACAGAGCAAGCTAACCACCGAGCTGGGATTCTAGTGCAGGCCTTCTGCCTCGAGAGCCTCTGGGGGTAAACCCCTAGCCCAGAGTCTGGCACCTGGTGATGCTCAGCAAACATCCTTTGCCTCCCTTTGTCCTGGTCATGGAAAGTGTTTCTCAATTCTCTTCTTTTTCTGTCATCCTCACAAGGTTTTAACTATGGGGGAATAAAAGAGGTAAGGACAGACGGCCGCCCAGGAGGGGCCAGATATGGGGAGAAAGTCAAGAAGTTTGTTCATTCATCCATACACTCACCCATTCATTCATTCTTTTATAACAAACATTTATTGAAGGCTTACTATGTGCCAGGTATCATTCAAGCCTTAGAGAGGCCTTCTCTGACCTTGGCATCTAATGTAACCCCTCTCGCCCCAGTGTTCTCTATCACACCACCCTCACCTCCCTCCCTCCCTCTTTCATCCCTTTCTCCTTTCTCTCCTTCCTCCCTCCCTCTCTCCCTCCCTCCCTTCCTGCCTTCCTTCTTTCCTTCCTCCCTCCCTCTCTCTCTTTGCCTCCCTTCCTACCTCCCCTCCTCTCCTTTTCTGCCTGCCTTTGTAGCTCTATAACCCTCTGTCTTATTTATTTATTTGTTTTCTACGTTATTGTCTGTTGCACCCCTCCCCATTAGAATGTAAGCTCTGTCAAGCTACATACCTTGTGACTTTGTCTCTCTTATTTACCTTTGTGTCCCTGAATGCGACACTTAGTAGACACTTAACGTTTGATGACTGAAAGAATGAACAATTAAATAAATTAATGAACAAAAGCATTTTACCTTCTATTTTGGCCTGCTAAAAAAACTCTGAATTCCTTAACCTAGCTTGCAGATAAGATCTTTGAGGCTACCAGCCTGCTACTACTGTTGACCAGCCCATCCTTTGGTCTTCATGCAAACACTAAAGCAAAGGGTTCTGAAAGGGCAGGTGATGTCCTGTGAACTGGCTGGGACCCCATCTTGGAGTTCAGTCTTCACAGGCTGCCTTGTCCTCCCTGCAGGGAAGGGGTCTATCAAACTGACCCCTGCCAAGAACCAGTGTTCGCACCTTTGCCTTGGAAAGGGCCATCCCTGAGAACCAATATCCACATCCAAATTCTCGTAACTCTCTCTGAATCTTAGAATCCTACAATATCGTGCAGCAGATGCCCTGGAGCTATGATTTCCCAAACACAAGTGCACAGTAGAATCAACTGGCAAGCTTGTTCAAGCAGATTCCCAGGCCCCACCTTATGCATATAGACTCAGAATCTCTGGTAGTAGGGACTAAGAATCTGTTTTTATAATGAACCCTTCCTAGTTCTCTGTAGTTGGTGCATTGGTAGGAGTGCAGGACCCACAGTTTTAGAACTTCGGGGGGTCATGGACCCTTCTGAGAACCTGATGAAAGCCTTTGAGCCTCTGCTCAAAGGAAGGTTGCGTCCAGTTTCACCAGGAACGCAGATACGGTGGTTGGGAGAGGAGCAGCAGCTGCCCAAGGACACTGCACGACAAGGGCGGGGTCAGCACGAGGTCTGGCTCTGAGCTACCTGTCCTTGCCCCTCCCGGGTTTCTTCTGGGGCTTTGCTGGATCTTCCGCAGGTCCCTGGTTATCAGTTAGGAGAGAAAGCAGCAGTGCTGTGACACCCACTTTAGAGTTTGGGCAGGAACAGGCAGAGGAGAGCATTTAGCTGACATACCAGGGTGCTGAGCTGCCAGGAGTGCCTTCCCAGGGGTGCAGACGCCAGATGCTATCCCTTCTCTCTTCCAGGTGGCCCTGCTCAGAGCCCATGCTGGCGAGCACCTGCTACTCGGAGCCACCAAGAGATCTATGGTGTTCAAGGACGTGCTGCTCCTAGGTGAGGAGTCTGCCTGCCCCCGCCAGGGCTCTGAGAGGGCACAGGCAGCGAGGCAGACGCCCAGGCAGGGGCGATTTCCAGGGTGGCAGGCAGGGGCTGGGGAGGCAGATCAGGAACAGCCCTGTCCTCAGGCTTGCGAATGGAGGACTCCAGGACTCACTTCTCAACTGGATACCCCGCTAAGACGCAAGGAATTAAAGTTTCCCAGCATTAAAGTTAAGAAGGCCTGGAGGCACAACAGTTAAGAAGTACTGTGCTGCTTACCAAAAGGTTGGTGGTTCGAACCCACCCAGAGGCTCCATGGGAGAAAGACCTGGCAATCTGCTCCTGTAAAGATTACAGCCAATAAAACCCTATGGGGCAGTTCTACTCTGTCACATGGAGCCAAAAATCGGCTCATCAGCACCTAACAACACTAACAGCATTAAAGTTAGAGCACAGTCAGGGTTATCCCTGAATTACCTGTGCATTCTGATGTGCTTTCTAGAGTAGGAGCAAGAGGCGTTTGAGCAACACAAACTCCTGGCCCATGTCACCTGTGCCTCACGGCATGTTTATTTACTATTGTAAATGCTTATGTAAGGCACACTATGTGCCGGGTCCCATTCTAAGGACTTTACAAACATTAACTCATTTAATACCATAACCCTGTAAGGTAAGTGCTATTATTTATCTGCATTTTACAGATGAGAAAACTGAGGCACAGAGAGGTTAAGTAATTTATCCAGAGACGCCCGGCTGTAAGTGGAAAAGCCAGGCTTCATCCTGGGCAGTCCAGCTCCAGAACCTGAGCCCTTAATCTTTTTGCTTTCATGTCTCCTCCCAAGTGGCCCTTGGTCTTGTGAGTTGTGTTGGGGAATGGAGATTGGGTAATGCGAAAGGGGTCTTGAAAGCAGGCTCCAGCCCCAGCCGATTGACTTCAGGCATCTCAGCCCCTTAATCGGGCTTTAGCTTCCTCATCTGTAAAATGGGCATGAAAGTTCCTGTGGAACCCTCTTCCTGTGGTGCTGGCTAATTGCCAACTGCAAAGGCCCACCTAGGCTCAAAATAGGGGCAAGTGGTAAACCCCAGGGTGACTATCCCATCCCCCCTCCCTCCCAACCCGCCCAGGCAATGACTATATCATCCCCCGGCACTGCCCGGAGCTGGCGGAGATGAGCCGCGTGTCCATGCGCATCCTGGACGAGCTGGTGCTGCCCTTCCAGGAGCTGCAGATCGATGACAATGAGTACGCCTGCCTCAAAGCCATCATCTTCTTCGACCCAGGTACAGTCCACACCTCCCACTGGTGGCCAAACCCTCTGCCAGGCTTCTCTTACTGGGTTACGAACACCGAGTTCACAACCTCGTTTCATCATTACGACCACTGAGAGAGATTGTTTTCATTACCCCCATTTAACAGATGAGGAAAATTGAGGCTCAAAGGGACGGAATGACTTGACCGTTTACACACACTCCAAAGGCCTGGTTTTATTCTTTCCTTCCTTCCCTCCCGCCCCCTTTCCTTTTCTCCCTCTGTGCTATTTTCCTCCCCCCACCCCTTCCTTTCATCTTTTCTTCTTCAAAAAAATTTATCAAAATAATATCTACACATACTTAAAAATGCAAATAGTCCCCCCCCCCCCGTGCCACTTTTCCAGCTGGAAGCCTCTTCCCCAGGGGAAACCACTTCTAATACTTTTAACTGTTTTCCCGGTAGTTACCACTTCAGCTCTAAGCAAAATGCTAAGCCTTCTTTTTTCCCATTTTAGACTGTATTTTCCCCCTATGTTAGTTGAGGATTTCACTCTCTCACCATTCCCATCTTTTCTCCCCCATCCTCCCAATATATTTTTTATTGCTATTTAGCATCTCTGTTGATTACCTTTGTAACTTTAAGTTATGCACTTAGGCCTTCGTTTCCTGTCCTATCCACTGTAGACAGTGTCTCCCGACTCCTCACTTAGCAGGATGAAGATGTTACATCCCTACCCTTTCCTTCAGCTCTCGGCTCTCTCCACCTGTTCCATCCACAGACTTTGGTCATCTGCATTTTTGAGAATGCAGTTATATGCTTACGTCTTTGTGCAAAGCCTGATTTCATTTCCCAGTGTCAAGGTGCCTCAGCCCAGTAAGCTTGCTTGCTTCCTTTCCTTCATTCATGTTAGAAAGAACCTACTGTGTGCCAGGCACTGCCCTGTATGCTCAGGCCCTGTCTGCCGGGAGATCACCTCTAGTGATGATAGTAATGAAGGGGAAGATAAAACTAGTTACCCTTGAGTCGACGCCAACTCATGGTGACCCTGTGTCTGTCAGAGTAGGACTATGCTCCATAGGGTTTTCAATGACATTTTTCAGAAGTAGATTTCCAGGTCTTCCTTCTGAGGTGCCTCTGGATGGACTTGAAACTCCACTCTTTCATTTAGCAGCTGAGCACGTTCACCATTTGCACCACCCAGGGACTCTTAAGGGGAAGATGACCATCATTTATTGAGTGCTCATTAAGACACCATTCTAGACACTTTATGTGGATTATCTCTTACTACTTATAACATAGTACCTGTGAGATATGTACTATCATTATACCCATTTTGCAGATAAGGAAACTGAAGCATAGGAAGGTTGATTAGCTTGCCCAAGATAACATAACCAGGAAGTAGTACAGCTTGCATTTGAATCTCAGACTATTTAGCTCTCAAGCCCATGTTCTTACCACCACATGCTATTCCCTAACTCCTGGACAGTGAGATTTCTAGCCTAGTTCCATTGAGAGCGGAACCGTGGTGGCACAGTGGTTAAGAGCTCAGCTGCTAACCAAAAGGTCGGTGGTTTGAATCCACCAGCCGCTCTTTGAAAACCCTAAGAGGCAGTTCTCCTCTGTCCTGTAGCATCGCTGTGAGTCATAATTGACTTAACGGCAACAGGTTTGGTTTGGTTGGTCCATTGAGAGTGTGACCCAGGCTGTGTCCACTGCAGTGCTTTGCCCAGGGCTGGGCAGATGGTAATTGCTGGGTAGACTGGGCAGGGTTACCAATCCTGAGTCAGAGTCAGCAACCTAGGTCGGAGGTGCAGGGGGCCTAGTTCAGGGTCTGGCATGTAGTAAACCCACCCATTGCCATCCAGTCAATTCTGACTCATAGGGACCCTATAGAACCGAGTAGAACTGCCTCATAGTGTTTCCAAGGCTATAATCTTTACGGAAGCAGGCTGCCACATCTTTCTCCTGCGGAGAGGCTGGTAGGTTCAAAATGCTGACCTTTCAGGTAGCAGCCAAGCACTTAACCACTGTGCCACCACGGCTCCTTTGGCACGTAGTAGGTGCTCATAAATGTTGGTAGCTGATGAAAAATGCACAAACACTGTTCAGTGGAGAGAGCCTTGGGCTGAAAGTGTGGGTGAAATTCTCTTTCTACCAGGTACTTTGTTTATTAAAGGGGGAATAAAAGCATTGCCTTCATGAAGGTTGAGGCAAAGCATTGGATGACTACTGAGTCCCCTTCTAGAATTTATTCATTGAATTTTTCATTCTTCCATCCTTTCACTTATCTACACATTCCTTCATCCACTCACCTATTAAACAAACATTGACTACTCATGGTGTTATCCCTGCCCTGCTGCGCTCAGTCTGGTGGAAGAGACACTTACATCCTGTATGGTCACTAGTGATGGCAAGAACCACAGCACTGTAGGGTCTTAGAGGACGCTCATAACACAGACTTGGGAGAGTGGAGAAGAGCAGGCTTCCTGGAGGATCTCAACTCTAAGCTGAGATCCCAAGGTGATGGGAGGCAGGAGCCAGGTGAGGGGGCAGAGAAGGAAAGACTATTCCAATGTAACAGAAGCAGCGTATGCTGAGGTCCGGAAGGTGGGACCTTAGCTGCGGGATCTACCAGTAACTGGCTGTGTGAGCCGGGGCAAGTGTTTTCCTTGCTCCATGCCTCAGTTTTCCCCTGTGTAAAATGAGGAGATTGCTAGGCGCTCTCTTGAGTGTGTTCCTGAATCCTGTCTCTCCAGTTCAACCCCTTATCACTCAGTTCTGCATTATAGGAAATGTGGTAGAAACCTTTTTCCGTCTGAGTCCAGGAAGCCACAATTTGTGCGAGTGTACCCTGGTGGTTGAAGACCCTGAACCCTCATCCCAGGCCTGCCAAGGACTTGCTATGTGACCTTGGGCCCCACAAGTCAGGGAGACATTCCCCAGGGGAGGTCTGGTCCTGACTCCCCAGATGCTCTAGCTGGTCCCCATTGCCCTCCCTTGTACACTTCTTCTGGTTGCAGATGCCAAGGGGCTGAGCGATCCAGGCAAGATCAAGAGGCTTCGTTCCCAGGTACAGGTGAGCCTGGAGGACTACATCAACGACCGCCAGTATGACTCACGTGGCCGCTTTGGTGAGCTGCTGCTGCTGCTGCCCACGCTGCAGAGCATCACCTGGCAGATGATTGAGCAGATCCAGTTCATCAAGCTTTTTGGCATGGCCAAGATCGACAACCTGCTGCAGGAGATGCTTCTGGGAGGTCCATGCCAGCCGCAGGAGGGGCTGAGAGGTGGGCAACAGGGGCAGAAGACAAGCTTGATGCAGACCTGGGCTCACCTCCCAGCTCCATTGCCTCCTCACTGGGTAGCTTTAGGCAAGCCACTTAAGCTGTCTAAGCCTCAGTTTCCTCATTTGGAAAATGGGGACAAGGATCCATTTGTTCAGGCACTGAGGGTCTAACATTGCCAGTTTCTGTTCTGAGTGCTGAAGATTGAGCAGAGAACAAGATCTCTGCCCTCCTGGAGGTTGTGTGTATGTGTGGTGTGTGTGTGTATAAGGGCTGGTGGGAATAGACAGTAACAAGTATATAATAAGCAAGCTAACTACGGATTTTGAAATGCGCAGGTAATATGAGAGAGGGTAACTGAAAAGGGGCCTCTTTAGATAGATTGGCCAAGGGAGATCTTTCTGAAGTGGTGACTTTTGTTCTAAGACATGATGGATGAAAGGATATAGAACATTCCAAGGAGAAGTAACTAGTGCAAAGGCTCTGAGGCAGGAAAGGTTTGCATGTTGAGAAAGAAGGACAAGGCTGTGAGATGGGAGGAGTTATGAGACAACGATGGAAATTTGACAAAAACTAAATCATAAACATACAGGCTTGTAGGCTGTGGTCAAAAATTTGGATTTTTATTCTTATTGTAGCAATTGTAAAGCAAGTGACAGTTAGACTAATGTTTTGAACAAATCACTCTGACTGTTGGGTAAAGAGTGGATTTCAGGGAGGCAAGAGTGGAGGCAGGAGATCTTTAGAACGTTACTGTCATTGACCAGGTGAAGGACGATGGAGGTTTGGACTAAGGCATGACTGTGGAAATGGAGCAGCTTAAATAAGTTTGATAACGTATTTGAGGGAGAAGCCACAGGATTTGTGGATTGATTGGATGTGGGGAGTGAGGGGAAGGGGAAGAATCAAGGATGACACCTAGAATTTTGCTAGAGTGACAGGAATGACGGTGGAGTTATTTACTGAGATGGGGAAGATTGAGCTATGGTGGTGGTGGTGTGAGGGGGTGGACCAAGAGATCCATTATGGACTTTAGTTAAGCTTGGGATGACATCCAAGTTGAGTTGTCAAGTTGAGTTATATTAGATATCCAAGTTGAGTTATCAAGGAGGTAGTTGGGTGTATGAATCTGTTGTTCAAACAAAAGCTCAAAGTTCAGAGTGAAAGGCAGCTCCATGGTTTTCCAGTGTTCAGGAGGCAGGAGAAAAGGAAGCGCCACTGAAGGAGACTGAGGAAGACTAACCAGAGGGATAGGAGAAAAACTAGGAAAGTGTGGTATTTCAGAATCCACGAGAAGAGCGCGTTTTAAGGAGGAGGGGGCATTTAATACTGTTAAATGCTGGAGAGAGAGAGATCTACTGGATTTGGCAACATGGAGGCTCTTGGTAATTTTGTTAAGAGCAGATTCAGAGCACTATGGGAATGGAAACCAGACTTAGAGTGTTCCAAAATGTGTGAGTGTGTGACTGTGAAAGTGCAGAAGTGGAGATAGTGAGTGTAGACAATCCTTTGGGTCTATTTTACTATGAAAGGAAGCTATGAGGGCGTTAAGGATGATTACAAGGGAAGAATTATAATGGTGGACCATGGAATCTAGGCTGAATTAAAAGAGGAATGAAGATGGGGTGATAGATGTGTAAAGTCGGGTCAGTGACTTGACAGTCTCAACAGGTTTGAAGAATTTCTTCAGTGATGGTACTAGATTAAGTGAGCTAGAAGGATAGGAGATAAAATCAAAGCAAAGATGCTTGAACCTGAAATTTTAGAGGTGATGCGGTTACTGGGGACGACATGGCACAGGACAGGATTTCTCAACCTCAACACTGTTGACATTTGGGCCTGGATGATTCTTTGTTGTGGGGACTGTCCTGTGCATTGTGGGATGTTTATCAGCCTCCCTGGCCTCCTCCCACTAGATACCAGTAGTATACCCCAGTTGTGGCAACCAAAAATGTCTCCATATGTTGCCAAATGCCCCCTGGGGGGAGGAAATGACAAAATCACCCCTAGTTGAGAACCACTGCTCTACGGTGTGGCCATGGGAATAGATGGCAGAGATGAAGCCCAGGAAAAGATACATTCAAGCTGAGAGGGCAGGGTGCCAGGTGGGTCTATACATATGCATCTTGAAGTAGCCAGAGAGATGGAAGAAGCAGGGATGAAGAAGACAGTGAGCTAGAGACTGAGTAGGAGGTAGAGATTACCACGGAGAGTTCTCAGATGGTCCTGTCAAATGACATGACATGAGCATCAAAGGAGCTGGAAGAGAAGATGTTTGGAAATGGTCATACAGAGGTAGAAATCTTCACCTTGACCTCACCTTCTAGTTTTCCTTCATTCAATGTATACTGAGTACTTGTTGCGTGCCAGGCACATAGGGGGCTTACCAGTGAACAGGATGTAGAAAAACCCTACCCTCTTGGAACTTAAATTAGACAAATCATCACCTGAACAATGAATGTATAATTACATTGATTATAACTGTTCTGATGGAAGAAGATGGGATTTGATGAGAATATAATTGGATTGGGGTGAGACAGAGCCTCTCTGAGGAAGTCACATCTGATCCCTTTATTGGCAGAGAAGTGGATGGACCAGAGATTTACAGAGGAATGAACAACAGAGTTTGGTAATGGGTGGGTATGGAGATGAGTTAAGGATTGTGCCAGGTGTGTCGCCTGAGCACCTGGGTAATCTTGCTGCCACTTGGTGCCCAAGTCCTCCCCATGGAATAGGAATGCCAGGGTTGGCAGAATGAGACCTCACTCTCTTTGGCTCTTTCTTGGTCCAGAATTTGGGCATTCTTTGAGCCCCACCAGCTTCCCCATTCCCATCAAAGCCTCATTGAGTATCTGGGCACAATTATTACTATCCATAATTCCATTACTATCATTGTCATATTTGTGTTTGGAGACCATTTGAATAAGGGTGAATGGGAAGTGGAGAGGGTATGACCCGTGGCTTCAGTCTCAAGAGTGGGTGTGGTACAGCACGGTGGTTTCTGTTCTCCCAGAAACCCAATAAGGGAAGTCCCTCCTGAAGGTTCCCAACAATCTCATCTGTAACCTAACAACCTTGGTGGTTGGAAAGGGAACTGTGGGTGCCACAGTGGAACCAGCACAAGTGTCAGCATTTTACAGGCTCCAAAGTGTTTTAACATATGGCAGGGTTTCTCAACCATGGACTATTGGCATTTGGGGTTAGATAATTCGTTGCTGTGGGGACTTTCATGTACACTGTAGGATGTTTAGCAGCATCCCTGGTCTCCACCCACTAGATACTAGTAGCATCTCCCTGCCCCACCCCCATCCCCAATTGTGACGGACAAAAATGTCTCCAGACATTACCAAGTATCCCCTGAGGGGGCAAAATTGCCACCAGTAGAGAATAGCTGTCATATGATAACTCATTTAATTCTCACTTCAACTTCTGAATATGGGGTTATGATGAACCAGTTGTCGCTGAGATTAGGATCAGGAGCTTGTGCTCTGTTACCAGGTAAACTTGGGCAGGAAAATTAATCTCTCCGTGCCCTGTTACCTCATCTGTAAAATGGGATAGTAATGGTATCCACCCTATAGGGTTGTTGTGAGAATCAAATTATTTAAAACACAAAAAGCTCTGTACAACAGTGCCTGGCACGTGATAGGTATTCAATAGTTGTCAGCTATTATTGAAACAGGTGTACTTTAGAGGCCTCTGCCAGCCCTAAAATTCCATTACTATCATTGCCTTATTTGTGGACATGGCCTATTACCAAATCACATTCTGGATGATATTATTACTCCCTGATACATTTTTTGAGCAGTTACTGGATTCCAGACACTTTGCTAGACCCTTAAGGAAAAAAGAATAATGCACCTATAATAGTAATGCCCATAGACAGAGAAAGTGGCTTGTCCCCAAAAATAGGTTACAGATAAATTACTTTAGGAATTCAGGAGGAGAGATTTACTTCCAACTGGAGTGGGGAGAATCAGGAGAGGTTTCCTAAAGGAGAAAATATCTGAGCTGAGATTTGGACTTGTGGGTGGGGGGTGGGGGAGGGAAGGAATCGCTAATGGAAGCAACAGCATGAGCAAGAGCATAGAGATACGAAAGTAAAGGGAACACATAGATGCTATAAGTAGGGCCATTTGGCTGGAGCAAAGGTGTGAGAGACGAGGCTGAAAGGTTAGTTGGGACCAAATGGTTGAAGGCCTTGGATGCCAAGGAGCTTTGAGAGCCACTGATTAAATCCATTATAGTACTACGCAATCAATACGCTACTGATTATAATATTTAAATAATCTCAGAGCTTTCTTATATACTCCTTGTTCCTTTCAAATCACTTTGCTCTCTTGGTTTGTTGGACCTTCTCTATGGTTAGGAATGGTAGACCCCAGTTTACTGGGATAAGTAATAAGTACCCAGTAGGCACTGTCAGTGACGGATGGGCAGGTTGATTGCCCATACCTGAGGAAGATGATGCCTCAAGGTCTATGGTTCTCGTCCCAGATCCTCCATTCTAATTGAGCCCCCTCTTCACCTGCAGGGTCCTCCAATGATGCACCCCATGCCCACCACCCCCTCCACCCTCATCTGATGCAGGAACACATGGGCACTAATGTCATTGTTGCCAACACGATGCCTGCTCATCTCAGCAATGGCCAGATGTGTGAGTGGCCCCGTCCCAGGGGGCAGGCAGGTGGGCAATCTGGGGATCTAAACAGCAAGGGGTGAGGATGGGACCTAAGAGAGGAGGCAGGACAAGGTTGGGTCTAGAAGATGGGAACCAGGATACATCAATGCTCTGTGCTCCAGGGTAGGGAATGAGGGATGAGGTTGCCCATTTGTTAAGGCTGTTTATTCACTGAGGTTCTCCACTGAGGTGACTGAATCTCTACTCAATAAATCTGTCCTTGGGATGAGGCAACCCACTGGGTGAGGTTGCTGCTGTATGAGGATGTTCACTGGATGAGAATTCCATTAGGAGCTATTGTCCACGAGGTAAAATTGTTCATTGAAGTAAGGCTGCCCAACTGGGTAAGACTATCCATGAGACAAATGGGTAAGACTATTCATTGGGTGAGGATATTCACTGGGCTAGACTGTTCTCTTAGGTAAAATCTCAGAAGAGTGAGTTTGTTATTGGGTAAAATTCTTCAAAGAGTAAGATTATCATTGGGATGAGGTGGTCCACTGAAATGAGATTTCATTTCATTGAGATTGTTCTTTGAGAAAGTTGTCCATTGAATGATGTTGTCCTGGGGATAACATTGTCCACTGAGGTGAAGTTGTATAATTGGATCAAAGTTACTCTCTAATGGGGAAAGGCCAATTAGTTTCTGTTGCTAATCTCTTAAATATCAAAGAAATGGTATTTTCGGAGACAGTTAGCCAGACCCTTGAGTCTCATTTATTGTTGCTCCGTCTCCAAAGAAAGAGTATCCCTATCACATGTCGCATTGCCCTTGGGAAGAGTGAAAGTTGGGCCCTGGGAGAAGCAGGCCAAGTCCCCATCTCAGATGGTGGAGGGCATGGGGGTTGGTAAGGCTTGAATGAAAGGCTGTGGCCACAGAATCTGTCCCAGCCACAGCCTTCCATACCTCAGGGAATTAATCTTTATGACCTGTGACTCATAAAAGTTTCAAGTGGTAGGAGATTTTAGGAGTTATCACTTTAAGTCTCTCATTCTACGGATGAAGAAACTAAGTCTAGAGAGGGAAAAGAACTATCTTAAGGCTCTTAATTTGCTTCCCCAAAGATCTGGAATTCTGAGCAGCTCCTGTCTCTTTGTCCCTCCAGCCACCCCTGAGACTCCACAGCCCTCACCGCCAGGTGGCTCAGGGTCTGAGCCCTACAAGCTCCTGCCAGGAGCCATTGCCACAATTGTCAAGCCCCCCTCTGCCATCCCCCAGCCAACGATTACCAAGCAAGAAGTCATCTAGCAAGCCGCTGGGGGTCGGGGGCTCTGCTAGCTCCCCCCAGCCCCCTCAAAGAGCGCCTGATGATCACTTGATCACAGCCAAAGAAGGCATGACAACAAGGCCAGTCCCAGAGCAGTAATGGAAAGGGCAAAGGGCCCGAGGACTTGGGCCGAGGTGTTCATCCCATTGCCACCCTTCACCCTCTGCTCTGGATGATGGGGCTTTGACTTGGGGAGACCATGGCTGGAAAGTCCTTAGCTGCCTTGAACAGCTTCTCTCATGCTGAAGCCACTGCCTTCACCTTCATCCGTATGCACCCCCAATTTCTTCACCATAAAAGGACAGCTGTCTGGAAACAATATGGAACCTTCCTTAAACATAGCTCCTGTCTCCCTCAGCCTCTCTTAGTACTGGCCATAGTGTCCAGACACAGAGCCCTTTGAGCCTGGGTCGGATTGCGGCACCTTTCATCTCCCAGTTCTGCCACCCCAACCTCAAATGTTCCTCCCGTCCACTGTCACCATCCTTAACCAGTAGCTATCAAGTTGATTCTGACTCATGCAACCCCATGTGTGTCAGAGTAGAACTATGCTCCACAGAGTTTTCAATGGCTGGTTTTTCAGAAGTAGGTCACCAGCCCTTTCTTTCAAGGCACTCTGGGTGGACTTGAACCTCCAACCTTTCAGCTAGCCACCGAGCGCATTAACTGTTTGCACCACCCAGGGATCCTATTTTTTCTGAAGCCACCTCTTCAGAAGCTGAAGAAGACTCCTAAACAATTCCCCTAGTCATTCCAGGAACATTTTAAACACTGGGGCCAGGCACAGCGTAAGAGACTGTTGAGAAGGAAGACACGGTTCCTCCTCTAATTCCACCTCACTTCCCTTCTTCAAGGACTTGAGAGGGTGTTTGGAGTCATGATCCCTATAGGCTTTCAACAAAGAGAGAACCATCCAAGGTTGACCACTGCAACAGGAATGTGGAGGGAGGGCTGGAGTGTCAGAGAGATCATCCAGAAAGAGGCAGACTGTGTGCAAGGCCTTGAAGGGAGGGTAGGATTAGGGCCTGTGGAGCAGGTGAAACAGGACATTCCACGTGAGGGGAAACCACCTGGGCAAACGCCGGAGGTCACAAGAATGGTGTCAGAGGAAGGTGGTGAAGAGACCAGGCTGTCTGGAGCAGAGAAGGCCTACTGGAGAGCATGGTGGCCTTGAATGCCAGACTGAAGCCTTTAGACTTGGTTCCCTAGGCTATGAATAGCTGAGCTAGTTCTCAGAAGATGAATGCAACAGTCCTAGAGAGGTTAGTAATGGACTCAAACATACCAACAATCATGAAGATGGCACAGGACCTGGTAACTTTTTGTTCTGTTATAGATAAGGTCACTATGAGTTGGAGCCAACTCAACGGCACCTAAAAACAACAACAGAGATTGGCAGGTTGGGAAGGAGCAGGGAGGTCAGATGGGGGCCCTGATGTAACCCAGGTGAGAGTGATGAGACCTGAGCTACTGCGTGGCTTGGGGATGGAAAGGAAGTGATGGTGAGCCCTCTCAGGTCACAGAGAGTCATTAAGGAGGAAATAGACCCTTAATATCTCCGGGCACCATCTTAAGGCACTTGACATGCATCATCTCATTTATCCTCACAATTACCCAGAGATCACTACAGAAGATGACCTTGAATTCTAAGAGGTTAAGTTATTTTTCTGGAACTCACACAGCTACTAAGTGGCAGAGTCAGGACTTGAACCCAGGTCATCTGCCTGGATCAGAATGGAAGCTCTTAACCATGGTAGCTGAACATCCTCTCTGAAAGGGCCCTTCTGTCCTCACTGTGATCAAGTTGAGAGACTTCTGCTCCCTTCACCATCCTCAGAAGCCAAAGCCTCCTTCCCCCCAGGAGGCCCACCCCTGCCCAGGGCTAAAATTGGCCTGAGGCTGCACCAAAATCCATTTAGGGTCCAGAATCCTGTTTGCTGATAAACATTAAGGAGAATTCATGACTCCTGGACCCCCTTTCGCTCTTCACTCTCCAAGTTGGGGAGAGAGAGAGCAGGGTTCTATTTCCTGGGAAAAGCACCCATCTGGCCTGGTAGCCCAGGGGTCGGTTGGTGGAGATGGTGATGGGGGCAGGACTATGGAGATAGGGGGCATGAGAAAGGTACGAGACCTGGCCTGGTGAGACCACTCAAGGTGCTGCCTGGAAACACTAAACCCCAGGAAGGAGTAGCCAGTGCCCCACCCATGCAGATTCTTAGTGATTTGGGAAATTCTGGAATAAGCCACTGGCCAGTAGGAATAAAAGAAATGTGTCCTGGGGCTGGAGGCATAATTAGGTAGAAGGGTGAACTGTTCCACTGGCTGCCTACCCCCATCCAGTGCAGACCTTCTGAGTGGATGGGGTCAGTACCTCCAGTGCCCAGAAATTCCACCATTAGTGATTATTCCTTTTTGAGAAAGAGGCATGGAGAAGTATTGGGGGCAGTGTGTCCAAGAGAAATCACCTTACCTCCCAGTGTTGTCAAGATTGGCTTTCTCCGCTCCACCAAATCAGGTCCCCAGTCCTAGGAGAGGCTGTTTCCTGCTCAGGGCTCTCAGTTTTCCTCAGCCACCCCTCACTCCAATTCTCCAGAAATCCCAGCCAGAGGGGCTTAGACTGGTCTGGGGCAAGGCCTGGAAGCTGGAATCATTCTGCTCATCGCCATCATTCCCACTCTTTTTTCCTTCACTCCCAAATGTTGCTCAGGCCTCTGTCATGGAAGCAAAGCTGAGATAAGAACTTTCCATGGGGGTGGAGTGGGGTAACTGTCCTTTTAGGGCTAGCAACCTTCTGAGGCAGGTGGTCAGTCCTGTACCCTAAACCTCCCCTTTCTGCCTTGTGGACTAAAAAAAGGTTGGGGGAGCCCAGCATGGGCCCCACAATGCTTCCACCGAGACACACCCCCCTCTCCAGGCAGCTCTCAGGGGCTACAGAATCTACATAGCTCTCCTGGGAGCGTACAGAGGAAAGAATCAGACATGGACGTGCCTTGGTTTCTTGTGATGACCAAGCCAGCTGCTTTTGCCAAATTGTTCTGTGATCTACCCTGATTGGACTAATTATGAAACTCACAGCAAGCTGGAGGGTCCCGTCAGACCTATCAGCATCTTCCTGTGGGTGTGACTGTCATCAGGTTCCATGCTGACGCCTGCAGCCCCCATCACTGCCGCCCAGTGGGGAAAAGAAGCAAAAAACGTTTCTTACTCTTGTGTTTTAACAAAAAAAGTTTATAAAACAGAAATAAATGGCACGTATGTTTTCTAACTCCTTGGATCGGTGTCTTTTCTTCCTTTCAGGTGTTAGAAATAAGAATGAGAATAGTCATATAATCCTTTACAGTGTAAAAACAGAATGTTTTCACATCCATTATTGTTTTTTAATCTTCACCTCAAGAGGTAAGCAGCTTAGACATTATTATTAGCCCTCACTTCAGAGATGAGGAAAATGGGGCTCAGGGGAAGTTGTTTTCCTTGAGAGGCTGGGGCAGGAATCTAACCCTGGTGTCTTGGCTCCAAGAACTCTGACTGCGGAGAGAGTGAAAGATGACCCTCCCTCCTGAAGAGGAGGGCAGTGAGGGAGCCGGTGATGGTAGGATCTGGGAGAATGGCAAGAGGGCCCAAGGGTCTGTCATCTACCATCAGAGTCCAAGATGGAGCCCTGTACTGGATCACCTCCAAGGACCTGAGTCAACCATGCTCACCTGCCAACAACAGCAAACAAGTTAGTAAGGGGAGATTTCATAAAAGCAAGTGTTGCTTAAAAAAAGAATTCCCAGCCATGTCTGTAGTCACTTTGGTCCTTCCCCCTGCTAAATTACGTGGGTGGCGTTGTGCCTTGGCCACCAGAGACCACAGGCTTACATTCATCTGGTGGTGTGCTGGAGACGGCTCATGAGAGCAGATTGTTAGTTTTCTTCCCAACTCTGTGTTCAGTGATGTCATGTTAATAGCAGTGGTGGGAGCATTTACACCACTAACAGTGGCAAATGCTACAAATCACGACTTTTTCCCTAAACATTCACCAGCACACCAGGGCATTCATTGATGGGTGCATGGGGGTTTGCTGATGGCTGGACTGTGGGACACATAGTGTGGGACACACTGCCATTAATATTCTAGATACAATGACACTCAGAGGTAAGGGTAGAACAGGATGGCCCTTTAGGCTCTTCCCAAGGGAAGGCGACAACGGTTCTGGTCTGGGAGTCAGGCATCTTGGTGATCAGTGTAAACTTGTGTAGGTCACTCCACCTCTTCAAGCGTCACTATAAAATGGGAATGATACCTCCCTCAAGGGGTATTGTCAGAATTAAATTGAATGACATAATAGTAACTGTAAGAGTCACTATGTTTATGAGGTGCACAAAGTGCCACCACAGTTCCCTGCAGCTACCGGGACTCAATGAATGTGAACTCTTTCCCCAGTCCCTTACAAGTGAGAGGCTAACCATAATGGTCTCCAGCCTCAGGAGCACCCACTAGCTTCCTGCCTGACCCTGCGGCCATTCTCATCTTCCCCTGTTGCTTCCCTCAACTCATCAGCCCCAGGAAACGTTTTCGATGATGTTGCAAAGGAGGCTTTGTTCATGTTGCTGCTAGCATGGACATGGGGTGGGGGCCAGAGGAGGTTATGCCAGTCCTAGCGTGTGCTTAATAAATCCATATCAAAACCATAAACCTGGGCTGCCATAAATTCCTCTGGCCTTGGCTCCTCCACCTCATCAGCCCTTTGTCCTAGTTAATCTCAAATCTCAGCGTGGGCGATCAGAGCCTCAAGTTTGATTTGTATTTCAGTTGCAAAATAACATCAGCTTTGGTGACAAACAGCAAATCTCATTATCCCCATTTTAGAGATGATGAAACTGAGGTTCAGAGAGGTGAAGGGACTTATCCTAGGTCACATAGCTAGTGAGCTGTTGAGCCAGGACTTGAGATCATGCTTTCTCTACCAACTTATGTGGCCTGGTTAAGAACTGGGAATTCTGATAACGTCTCCTACTCTTGGCCCCCCTACAAAGGTTGTATCCCCCGCCATGCTACTAGAAACTTCTTATCCCATCCTTCCAAATGGAACCTCACTGCTCAGAGTAGAGACCAGAAGCTGAAAGGACCCTGGGTGATAGACTCCTTGAAGATCCAAAGGAAGTTCCACGAAGCATGAATGACCTGTCACCCCAAAATTGGTGGGATTGCCTACTTCCTCCTTTATAGAACCCGGATCACCTTTGGTCTACATTTCTCAAATTTGTGTGTCATATGTAAATTTCAAAACGTGATCTAGGAGAGCTGAATCACAGGATTCCATGAACCTTTTTGATGATGGTGGAACTAAAAGCCAAATCATGATGCCAAGGACAACATTTGTTGAGCACTTCCTCTTTGCCAAACGTTGCTGGACATGATTTAATCCCCACAGCAACCCTCTGAGGCAGATATTCTTGTTGTTTTGTTTTACAAATGAGGAAACTGAGGCTCAGAATGAGGAAG